ACTCTTATCTCAGCTATAGGACCAGCAATTCAAATATTTAAACATTCAAATGGACCTGTGATTTCACTGACTTGGAAATTCCCTTGTGCGGATCACAGCCCATGCATGTCAGCCCAAGCTGCATGATTGTCGTTTGTGTTCTTATATAAGTTTGCCACAGGGGTCCATCCTGACTATGATTATCTGCCTATTATTCCACCCACTTGACACACGGCCAGTCCATCATCTTTACTACCATACATTTTCTTGATAACATCTTTAACTTCTGGTCTTTCAAGTTTCTTATTGATTATATGTTGCAGCCTGGTGTACCTACCATGCTTTTCTCTATTACTCTCTGTGTGATACTCATTTTCAATTCTTCAAACACTATTGCATTCATGTTTCACTGTCATATAATACCAGTAGAATGTTTCCATAGGAAGCTTGGGGGTAATTCAGGGAACTTTGCCATTTCCCCAAAGTAATCCAACTAGTTTCCTGCATTACTTTTTACGCCCGCTAAACTCTGAGTTCAGCTCATTTTAATTTTGTATTGTGTGTCCTAGATATACATATTGCCTTAGGACTAAGAGAGAAGAAATCCGAGGAAGCAGTAATTGCAGTCCACTTGAGCTCCTGGGTACCCTCCCTCCTTTAGGAGCAGCTGAACCAAAAACTATTACTACTAGCCTACTTGAATCATGATTTCCCTAACAATGAGGATGCCTTTATTTTGTATATAGATAACTCCTATAAAGATTTGGTATAGGTCCAGCTCTCAGCAGCCTTGCTGTGAAGGTGATGAAGGTGCCCAGTGCAAGGCAGATGAGTGAGTTTGATTCATCAAATGAAGAGCGAGTTGAAAATGAGCAGACTCTATTTCAGGTATCATGGCTACCCTTATCTATTGTGAATTGTTCTCAGTTACTAGGCTTATGTTCTCGTTCAGGGAGCATATTTAAAGATATTAGGAGAAAACTCCAAAAGGACATGGACAAACTTAAGAATTATGATATACAAGATCTATTTGTGTTCTGTACTAGAGGAGAGCTGTCAAAATATCGGGTACCGAAACTTTTAGGCTTCTATCCGCAGCATGGAATCATCACTCCCCGTCATCCCATCCCAGCTGGAGATACCTCTGACATAGACTGAGGCTGTGGAATCCTGCAATAGCTTGCAGTCTGTCTTGAAAATAAAATGGAAAACCTTAATTCATTGTTATGGAGGACTTGGGTGCTCTTGTCTTGTAGCAGCTTGCCTCCCACTATACTTATCTGATACAGTATCATCACAGCAGGCAATTGACAACCTTTGAGATCTAAGAGGATCTGGGGCATACAGACTATAAAACAGTGTAATTATCTGCATGATTTCCCAGACAAACTGGCTGCACATCTGTCAACAAGAGACTCAGTATCAAGATCTGTATCTAGATAAAGAACAACATCAATTCACCACACATGAATAAGGTGCTTTCTGAAACAGTTACTAGTGTAACCAATTCAAATGAAAACATGCCTATACAGATATATCCCTAAAATGTTTTGACAGTGTTCATTTTGTGTTCTTATTTGAGGGTATTGGATGCACAAAAATATCCTTCCAGTAAATGGGCCCCTTGTCTGTTTTATATGGTACTGTATTGTATGATTTCATTCAACATCTTTTAGCTATTCCTCGTGACCCCTATGTAGTGCTAATTAGTAAGAAGAACAGAAACTATCCTTGATGTCACTATGTAGTGCTTGACTATGAGAAGACTGGAAATTCCTCTGGGTACATTGGTTCTTGATTTTTATTGATCCTGGTTTACTTTTAATGGTGTGCATCCTGACTGTTACATAATTTGTCTGTTTTTTTTCCTCTCTATGTATTGCCCCATCTGAATTCCTTTCACTTACTTTCCTATTTTTAACCTTTAAAATTATATGGATATCAGTTTTCTTTAAAGATCTTAACTCTAATTGCTTATTGTTGATTTTAATCAACCTAGACTGAATCACATGCATTGACTCAACTAAATTAAGAAAATCTAACCTAATTTAATATTCCTTCTCAAACCAATTTAGTAAAGATATATTCTGTTTTGAATTATGCTCCCAAGAATACCCAAAACTCTCACGTGACATTTAGACAAGGAAGACAACAATATTCAAGGTCACTTAGTTTTAATTAGCCATAGGCAGTGATACCATACTCCGTAGAGTATTGATATGTCTCCAAAGCACAATTAGTTTCCACTGTACTTTAACACTGAGAAACTCTAAAGGAAATCTTTGTCAAATCAAATCAAATTTGAATTGGACCATCAAATAGTCCAACAACTGAAGCACATCTTGCTATTGGAATAATTGTAGTACTTGAAAGAAGTGCTTCAAAATGATTATCAGTGTTTTCGAGAACTATAAACCACATGTTCCATGACATAAAACTAATTATATTAATGTCTATTTTAGTTAATTAGAAAGCCAACTCATAGTAGTACTAAGGAATATGTAAAGAATTACATATCACATTAATATCCAAGTGAAAGTCCTAGGAACTTAAATTAGTATCTCAAACCACAAATGCCACTACATATTACCAAAAGCAAGGGCATTTTTGAACAGTGAAAGTTCAGGAGTAATGAAATAGCACAGAGATTTCATGAGAAATCACATTCTGCAATTTGAATAAAAGCACAATCTAAACAAATTTTCTAACACCAAACAGTTTTGAATCTTAATTTTGCTTTCACATGTTAGAAATCACGCTGCCAACTCTTCTATTCAGGATAATAGCAGAAGGTAATGCCATTGGTTAACTAAGCTCAACTAAATACTCATTGTTATATCTAAATTTCTATTTAAATGCTATTTTTATATTTATTAACATGTAGAATCCACTTAACTAAATTATTTTAAGCAGTAAACATAATTTTCTGTATAATGGAAACACAAGACAAAAGAAACTCACTGCTCCAAATACCACAAGAAAATGTAATTAGTATATGGCATGATAGTTGGAGGAAACATTTTCTTTGCCTGATCTTGGGTGAAGGAGTTCATTATGAATGACACAGCCAAAACAGGGGGAGGGAGGTAAGGAGAGAATAAAAATAATCTGGAAGAGTTTGAAAATCCACAAACCAAATAAGAAATAACTGCATTTTAAATTAATAGCTTAATGTACCAACCCAGGACGCCATTAACATAAATCACACAAACCACAAATATTTTGTGACAATTTTTATTAAATATACAAATGCAGAATAAATCCATTGAGTTGTAAGTACCAATTTTCTTTAGTCACATATAAAACCTTGTAAGGTTAAAACTTGATAATTTTAAGAAAAGAAGCTAAATGCTCAAATAAACTATATTTTGGTTGTCTTGTCAGTCTTAATGTCCAGAATTATCTCTCATTCCAGTATACTACTTAATTGCACTATTACTTCCAGGGAGAAGACAAGAAAATTATAACTAAGGAAAAGTAGATTATATATAGAAAAAACCTGACAAGTTAAACTTAAAATGTGAAATACCAATTCTGAAATATATCAAGATGGTCTTTAAATAGATCTACAGATACACAATGAACACTACTAAAATTACTAGTGCTTCTGAAGCGACACTATTACAACATTGTAGCAGCACCGCATAGTTAAAACTGTTTTCCAACTCCCAACAAACCAAATGCCAGAGTTAAAATTTGTTGATTAAAGCTATATCCTTAGTCTAACTAAAACAGTATCTTTTATAAATATAATCATCTCAGACAGTAATAGCTATGATAATAGAAGAACCCTGCTTTTTCCTGAATACAAGCTATTATATACTGATTCACTGGAATTTATTAATGCCAAAATATTCTTTGAACAGTAGTAAACAAGTACAATATTAATACTAAAGAGCCTGTTGGCGGTAAAATAACAATATAAATTATTTCACTTTTTACAACTGGTATAAAAAGTTGAAAAAACTTAAGAATGAATATCCTTCACTACTGGTGGTACAGTTAACAAGACTTTCTTCTACACTGAAATGATTATTACTATGTCAAAATATAGTTCTTGTTCATCAGTGCTTCTGAATAACTTGCAGTTATACAATTTCTTGCCAGATGTATAATGTTTATTAAAAGGCTATGGAAAGGTCAGAGATACCACAGAAATGCATTTGCAATTTTGATGAATTTCTTGGCACAAAATGTCCAAACCAACTGAAAATCAGCTGCTGTATATAGGATTTTCTAGGTACACTCTAATGTTAACTTACATAAAAACTGATGCTCAACAAATACTGCACTTACGGACAACCCAAGGGGAAGGGATGATAAATTGTTTGTTACAAATCAACAGCACCTAAAAAGGTATTATATTTCTGTATTTGTTTTTCAACTTAATTGAAACATTAAAAATTTGACATTAAAAAAAGATTTTGTACAGGTGGGAGAATATGCATATGGGTTGGTAGTTATTAATGTTTCTTTGGTTGCTTTTTAAAGAATTAATAAGTTCCAAGATATTTTCTTTGATATATATGTTTTTACATATACACATATATAATATACACACATTTATATATCATATATACACATACATATATATGTATGTGTGTGTGTATATATGTATATATGTATATATATATATATATATATATATATATATATGTGTGTGTGTGTGTGTATATATATATACACATGTGTGCATATATTCTCTCCCATCCCCATCTGTAAAATAAGGGTGTTGGGCTTGATTTCTCAGATTTCTTTCTAAAAGAATCAGTGTAGCAAAGTGAAAGAGAACTAGTCACAGAATCAGGAAAATTCTGTGTTGAAGACTCACCTCTGACACATCCTGGGTGTATGACCCTGAGCAAATCACTTGTCTTTCAGTGCTCAAGGCAACTGTCTAAGCTGTAATTTTCTGATCTGGATTGTAAAGGGAGTTTCCTCACATTGCCTACATTGATGAAATCACAGATCTCAATAAGTAAAATCCTTCCAAGTGAATCTGTGCCTGTTTTGTGAGTTAGCTCATAGTGCTAGAGAAGCCAAGGTTATTTGCTGACTTTTTTCTATAACCAGAAATTACTATTAGTTACAGCCAGCTGTCTGAAAAACACTTGTCCTTGGAACATACTTGACAAGAGCTGTTCGATGGTTCCACACCAGGAGAAAAAGAACATATTCTTATTCTTATTTGAGAATGCTCCTGAAATCTTTCGTGACATTTTCTTTGGAAGCAAAAGTCATCTATCTTTTTTTTTTATTAACTATTTCAACATTTTTTACAACTTCTGCAGAGAATAAGAGTCAATTAATTTTGGGAAGAAGTCTCTGTGAATGAAGCTAGGCATTGTCCTTTGAAAACCTTAAGGTGATTTGCTGTAGGCTAAGTGTGGGAGGAGTTAGTGAAGAAGGAATATGGTTATAAGATAAAATTTGCTCTACTGGAGGAATAATTAGGAGCTCACTTACAGATATTCACGTTTCTCCTTTGTTATGGCTCATGTTTAGAAACTGGTCCATTTGTAAATAGGCGTCTATTTGTTAATGGTAAATAAGCCCTGGACAAATCAAAAGAATTATACTCTGAGTGCATAATACACGTTTGTTTGGATTGATTCACACCATTTAAACCCATCTAAAACCAACTCATTTTGAAATACTATTCCTAATGAAATTGTAATACCTACCTTGTGTTATGAACATTATTTAATATCTAACTTGTATTAAGCTGAAAAAATAAAACAACTCATAAAAGTACTTCTCTACTATGCATGATTTTGAGAATTTTGTTTAGCTGAAAGTCAAAGAGGCTGCAGAACTCGTTGGACAGAAAATTATCAGTTTGGACTAGCTCTACTCAGAGCTAGTAGTCCTAATAGTTTCAAATGACCCTTAAAATCCATATTTAAAAAATTGAATAGGTGCCATACGCTTATCTGAAAATAGATTTCTAAACATGGTTTGTAACATATATAGCAACTAACATGTAAAGCATCATTTTATTTATGTGGGGCTTTGCTTTGTGCTTACTCAGATCACCTATGTGGGAGATGACCTTCTATATTCCCTCACCATCTGGGTGAAGATAGCCTTTTCCCATAGGTTGCATAGCCAGAACAGGCTTCTGCTTTAAAACTAACAGACAGACATTCTTTCTGGCAGCATTCAAAGGGGAAACATCCTGTTCACTCACATCGTGTCTCCCCTCCCCCCCATCAGACCCTATGGCTCCAAGAAACGGGCTCAGGTTTTCTTTTTGCTTTTTTGCTTGTTCTTTATAGTTCTAGGCAAAGGTGCTAGAGTCCCTGGATCTGGACTTGAGCCATGATAATGTTGGAGGCCAGATTTTGCAGCCAGCCTAGCAAAGAAGCCAGGATTCCTAGGACTTGAGCCCAAGGTGATCTTTGGGTTGGGAACTTTGTTGGGTCCATGCTGGTTCTACCAAGGACCATTTAGAAATTGGGTAAAGTGATGAAACCAAAAAGAACTCCAACTCATGCATTTGCTAAGAAGTGGTTTCTGTTATGCATGTTAGTCAGTGTTAGTCTTATCATACATTCTGATTTAGCCAAATATTGTCAGAGAAGTACAATTAACCAATGGATTGACTTAGCTTATGTTTAAATTTCACATATTATAGTCAGTCACCTGCTGGGGGTAGAGGATTATAAGTGGATAGCCTGAGTATTTCACTGATATCTTTGGGATGTCAGGAAAAAATAAAGAAGGCCTTTGGCATGTGGAGTGGACCTTGTATAGCAAACTTATGGGAAGACATAGGCAAGAGTTACATAGGATGGGCAAACCTGAATGGGTTGAGAGCTTTATGATCAGAAGGAAAATGTTAAAATCAATGACATCACAAATACATTGCTGTATTTGAGTCTAGTCCCAATGATGACCATTTAAGATCCTTTGAGTCTTAAGTTTCTATGATTATAATCATAGTGCCCAAATGGATGTAGTACTGTGCTGAATGCTGCATAAAGTTATAAAGCCATGTCACTTGCCTTCTAGGAGTTTATAATCTAAGTAGCCATTCCCAGTGAAGACTAGGTAGAATCAAGCTAAAAAAGGAACTGTAAGCTAAAAAGGAAAAACTGAAAAGTCATTTGTCTATAGCTTTTAGTGTGTTTACCATCAATTCATTAATAATCAAACATTTTTAAAATGCCTGTTATGCTCTACTCAGTGTGCCAGGCCTGAGGATACAAATACAAAACAAAGCAATCTTTACTCAAAGAGTCTACAGAAACCAGGGCAGGTTGTCAAGGTGTGGGGTGAATTGGAGCAAAAGGGTCAGGTATCACTTATTTGTGCTGGGATTTTGTATGGTTGTGTCATTCTGTGTTAGGAAGTTGGGGCAAAAGTAAGGCAAATCCCAAAGGAGCCTTTTTTTCTTTACACTCTATGTAGTTTTGAGGAATATCCTACTTATTAGCTAACAAATCTTCATTCATAAAAACAAACTAGAGTAGTGTGTAGGTAAGTCATCTCTGGATAATCCTTATCTTTTTCCTCATTAATCTTAAGTTTCAGGCATGACATCCACTAAATAAATGGTGGCAACAGGGTTGTACTGTAAGACAGGAGCTATAGTTCTAGTTTTGTTTTTAAAACTTTTTTTTTGTAACCTTAAGCAGATCACTTCCCCTCTCTTTGCTTCTGCTTCTTCATTGTTTCCTCCAGTTCTGAGATACAGATGACAGGCAATATATTCAAAAGGGTCAAGAAAAGGACACAAAGGGAATAAGAAGGAGTACCCTGGATATGGGAAAAGAGTGAAAGATATACTTAAATACTGGAGATGAGAAGGAATATCGTGTGGTTTATTTGTGCTAAAAGTTTAAAGGCTAGAGATGAGGAATTAGGAGTTAAATAGTAGATCCAGATTTAAAAATGGGTATTCTCCTCTCATTTGCTCTTAAGCCTGGGAAGTCAGGTCAAACATAGTCATTATTCCATTCCCTTGAGAATGAAAAGGACATGCATTATAATTGGAAAAATATTACTAAGCATTAGAGGGGTGTGTGTGTTCATGTCCTTTCTCTCTCACTCCACAGCCAAATACAAATCTCTTTTAAGGTGGAGAACAAGTCTTATTTATCTTTGTACCTCATCAAGCCTTTGCACAATACATAGCTATTGGTTAATAAACATTTTGTTGAACGAATGGAATCAGATTTGACACCCAAAGGAAAGTTATTATTTTAGCCTAGCGAAGGGCTCTATTTTTTCTATGTCTCTACTAGGCCATGCTAATAGAAAGCTCACCAGCTTTTCACAACAGATGGATCAAGATAGACTGTGTTTAGAAGCTGACAGAGCACAACATTTATTCTGCAAAGCAGTCCTGATGAGTGCTAATCTTTGTTTTTGATATAACTCTAGAGCTGTGTCTTCTAAGTCAGGGGATCAAATATGTCAGTAACTGACATTTCTGAAAGATTTGCTGCCATTAATATGGGCTTGATAGGTGAACATTTAGCTTATGTGGTTGCTCCTTGGGATGGCAGAGAAAAACAAGAATGGCTTCTAGCACACTAAGCAGACAAGAGTCCTACAGGATGGTCAGGCATGTGATTCTTGCCACAATATTGTTGGCTTCTTACTTCTCTTTTTTTGGTCTTTTCTTTGTCAGTTTGCCGTCTTCTTCTCCTGTAGTAACACAATACAAGCACAGCTATATAAAATAATATAATACAGTTCCAGATAAATTGCTGTTCTCTATCCTCATTATAAGGAGAAGAAATTAAAATGAAAATTTTACAGATAGTCTAGTTTTAAATTCCATTCCAGGATACTATTATTATCAGGATACTGACAATATTTGGGTACAAGTTTTCATAAATCTTCAGTGATTCACTAGACTAGAGACCAAAACTGACTGTCTTTCTAAGCTGTTTTTCTTTTTGGTGAGGCATTTGGGGTTAAGTGACTTGCCCAGGGTCACACAGCTAGTAAGTATCATGTGTCTGAGGCCAGATTTGAACTCAGGTCTTCCTGACTCTATCTACCATGCCACCTAGCTGCCCTCTAAGCTGTTTTTCTTTATACTATTATTATTATATAAATTTTTCTACCAATTCTGCTCACTTCATACTGCATTAGTTCATACAGTTCTTTCCAGGTTTCTCTTAATTATGGTACAATTCTATTCTAATACGTTTGTATATAATTTGATTGGTCATTTCCAATAGATGGGCCCCCTTTTAGTTCCCAGGTAGTTACTACTACATAAAGAGTTGCTACACATATTTTACACACATGTATAATTTTCTCTTCCTTTGATCTGTTTGGGGCATAGACCCAGAGGTAGTATTGCTGGCTCAAAGGAGATGCACATCTTCAAATTGCTTTCCAGAATGGCTGAACCAGTTCACAGTCCCATCAACAGTATACTACTATGCATGTATCCACACTATACTTCCAATAATTGCCGTTTTCTTTTTTATTATCTTTGTCAACCTAATATGTGTGAGAATGAACCACAGAGTTTCTTTAATTTGCATTTCTCTAATTATTAGTGGTTTGGAGCCTTTTTTCATTTGCTTCTTGGTAGGTGGAATTTCTTCCTTTGAATATTGCCTATTCATATCCTTTAACCTATTAGAGAATAGCTCTTATTCTTATAAATTCTCATATCTTGGAAATGAGGCTTTTATCAGAGAAATTTGCTGCAAAGATTTTCCCTAGTTATGTGTTTACCTTCTAATTTTAACCGTATTGGTTTTGGTTGTTCAAAACTTTAAAAATTTTATGTAATCAAGAGTGTTCACTTTATCTTGTGCCCTTATTTTGGCCATGAACTCTTCTCCTAGCTATATCCTTGAAAGATAGTTTTTTCCTTGCTCCTCTAATTTGTTTATGATGTCACTATGACTCTGAGTATTTGTTACAAGGGTTTGTTTTTCCTTTTTTTCCCCTCAGTGGTGGTGGTAGTAGTGGAAGGGATGGAAGAGAAAGAAAAGAAACGCTTGTTAACCAAAAAAGATAAGGAGGTTCTTAACAACTTTCTTGTTTATCTTTTTGTTATGTTTATATAGATCCAAAAGGGGAGTGTTGACATCACTATCAATGTTTTATAGTTTTATTGTCTATTTCTACTTGTAGCTTGATTAGTTTTTTCCATTAAGTGCTTAGATACTGTGCCATTAAGTACATATATATTTAATCAACTATGGTACCTTTAAGCATAATGTAATTTCCCTGTTTATCTCTTCAAATGATGTTTATTTTTACTATTTCTGTGTTTGAGATTATGATTGCCATTCCTGCTTCTCTGAATTCAACTGAGACATAATTAATTATTCTCCAACCTTAATTTTATCTCTTTTCAAATTTTTATGTTTTGTGTTTTTCTTGTGAATAATATGTTGTTGGATTCTTTTAATTTTATATCTTCCATTTTATGAATTCACATTCAATGTTATGATTGTTAATTATTTGTTTTCCTCCATCATATCATCTTATAATTTTTTTTCCTTTCTTACCTCCCTTCAAAGAAAATAAAGAAAAAAAGAGAATAGAATCTACACTAATAATGTATAACTGGTCCCATTCCTCTGCCCCCTCCTTTCCTTTTAGCTCATATTCCAATCTCTGATTCTCTTTCTGTCTCTCCTTTTTAATCCCTCTTTATAATCTGCCCTCCATAGCTGGAACTGGTTATACTTTTGAATATATTCTTTTCCTTCCCCCTTTTCCCCTTTCTCTGTCCCTATTCTCCCATTGAATTTAATGTATTTTCACACTAAATTCGTGCCAGGTTTAAATAAGCATGTGGTGCGTGAGATGTTTGTACTCCCCAGCCTGCACTTCCCTATTTGTGTATTCTTCTGGTACATTGCCAAACTCACAGCTCTTCCAAACTTCCCTCTCACTAAGAACATCATTCTTTCAGCCACCCATGTAAGAAACCTGGGTGTCACTTTAAAATCCTTATTGTCACTAAACCCACACAGAAAATTAGTTGCCAAATCTTGCCTCCACAATATCATTTGTATACATCACCTTTTTAATTTAATCTTCTGCTTTATTTCCTCCATCCACTCTTGGAGTTCTTATGGCCAAGCCATTTTTTTTTCAGAGGTTCTGTTTGTTACTTGTTTTAGAGTTACTCTCTTCTTCTGGGTTTACCTTTTGGACTTCTGTTATCCCATAACATTTCTTCATCATGTTAAGAGTTTTCTTCCATTTACTCATGTAACAGGAGATTAACTAATAGGGTTCCAATCCTGGCCACACGTGCAGGAGCCCCATTGGAAGTTTGGTGAACCTGCTTCTGGAATTTTACCTCATTACAAACCCTATCAGTATGCCCATCAAACATCCAGGTGGGTACTGGGTACCCTGCACATATTGCCAGGACTAGAGCCCTTTTAGTTATTTCCCTATTACATGCATGTCTCTCGTCTTAGTTCCTCAGTCATGACTTTGTGCTTTGCCAGGTTCTATCCTATACTATTAGATGGGGAGGCTACATCCTAGTTCTCCCTCCCTGCCTTCTTCCATAATCCTAACCTGGGATAAGGAGCTAGATCTGGAGCTACTACCAAGCCCTGTCTTCTGCATCATCCTCTAGTAACCCACCAAAGATGCTAGTCTGTTTTCTGCCTCGGCCTCATTCCTCTTGTACTTAGTCACCAAATGGTAGTTGGCCTTTTCTCTTGTTGAATAGCTCACAGGTCAAACAATATGTCTGAGATTTGAAATCACCCTGGGCACATATTTCCTTGGGAATCCCAGCATCAGCTGCCTAAGGAGGCTCTGTCCTATCTCTATCTCTATCTTTTTGGAGCTGGTTTTGACGACTGATATGTCTCTGACAGTTTAGGACTGAGATTGCACTGGCTTCAGGGGAATTCATTCATGCTGACTTTAACTTAAAGAAAGCACACACAGGCCTCTGGCCATCTTCTTGTCTTAGAATGGATGGAGGTGTTTACTGATGTTTCCCCCCCTTTTTTTTTATTGTATCATTTCTTCATTTAGTGCTCTTTAAAATCTTTTCTGGGGGTGTTTCTTAAAGGATCCAGACTTTTCTAGACATTTCACATTGCCATCGTGAGCAGCCCTTCAGTAATTTCTCCAAGGTCACACAGGTAGTAAATGGCAGATTTAGGATGCGAACACCTATAGTCCCCACCACTCTTAAAACTATAATAGCCTCTCTCCCAATCAGTTGTCAAATTTTGTTCATTCCACTTCTTCAACATTTCTCATATCTGTCCCCTCCTTTCCACTTACTCAGTTCTTTTCATTCTCTTTCACTTGGATTGCTGTAATATCTTCCTGATTGGTCACTCCGTATTCAATCTCTCACCTTTGTCATTCATTCTCCACACTACTGCCAAAACCATAAGCCTAAAGCCCAGGTCTGAATATGTCATTCAAGCAACCATGGCTCCCCATTACCCCTAAGATATAAACTCCACTATTTGGCTTTTAAAGCTCTTCATAGTCTAGCACCAGCCTATCTGAGCTGGTGAAAACTGGTTTTACTGGTACAGCCTCAGCTGTCCACTCCCCCACCCACCCCAGATGCATTTCTGCTAAGGTTAATAAACTCAGAGACCTGGAATTACTTGCCTCCCTCCCCTCATTCTTTTGTTTTCATGACAGGGTTAGAGTTAATTTTCCTGGGATCAGAAATTAACCTCAAAGAAGATTCTATCCCTAACTGCTTATCACAGTGATAGAGGCTCTTACCCAGGAGGAGGAAGGAACAATAGAGGCAAACTCAAAACCAACTCTAATCTGTCCAGCAGTTGCCGATCAGCTGACTCTAAAAAGAGGTGAGAATGCAGAGAGAACTTGCATGACTCACGTGACAGTAGCAGTTCTGTCAGACTCCTTTTTGCTGCTATCAAAGAGATTTACAAATAGGTAGTCTGGGAAGCTTCTCTTCCACATCTTCCTCTCCCGGTGAGGTGACAGAGGGAGGAGAAGGAAAACAGGTAGCAATATTTTGTTAACAGATAAGAAGCCTTTCAGGCAAAAAGGGTAAGGCTCTTTTAAGAACTACTAATGGGCAGGTAGTGGATAGAGCCCTGGATTCAGGAGGACCTGAGTTCAAATCCGGCCTTAGACACATAACACTTACTAGCTGTACGACCTGGGCAAGTCACTTAACTCCATTGCCTAGCCAAAAAAAAAAAAAAAAAAGAACTACTGCTGTTAGCGGGAATCAGGAAGCAGCCAAGACCTTCTTTCCCTCCTTTGCATTTGCTTTGCAGTCTAGACAAGTAGACAGATGCTGTTGATCATTATGCAAGGGAAATGGGCAAAGAAAATGGGGACTAGGAGGACCCAGGGAGGAGGAAGGGATAAAGATAGAAAAAGTTTTGCTTATAGACTAGAGACCAATTGAGGTAAGGATTGGGATTCCTTTGAGAGATGACTCTGGGAATGGGAGGTCAGAAAACAGCAATCAGAGTCAGGGACTTCCCTCAGGATCTCTTTCTCAAAAGGTCATGTGGTGATGGTTGCTAGATCATAGACTGCCCCCTCCCTTCCCCCACCACAATAGGACATAGCCCCTAATACCGTCTTATGGCAGAAATACAGAGATGCAGGGCCCTCCACCCCACCCCTAGGCAGCCTCAATAAAAGAGGTTAGGTAGTTGGTTAAGCAGGATAAATGGTATAAACTTAACAGGGGTGGGGAACTTTCGTCCTTGAGGTCACATGTGGCCCTCTAGGTCCTCAAGTGCAGCCCTCTGACTGAATCCAAACTTTATAGAACAAATCCCCTTAATAAAAGGATTTGTTCTGTAAAACTTGGACTCAGCCAAAACAATGCACCCAAGGACCTAGAAAGCCACATGTGGCCTCGAGCCCACAGGTTCCCCACCCCTGACGGAAGATTTGAGGCAAGGAGGATCCAGAGTAGCTCATCTTTAGAACAGATCACAGGGGAACCCTGCATACTTTGGAAGAGGAGGAGGAGAAGGAGGAAGAGATGAAAGAGGAGAGAGGAGGAAAAGGAGGAACAGGAGGGAGGAGGAAGAGGACAAGGAGGTAGAGATAGCTTGGAAAGTTTGTTTTCTGCTAGAATGGAATCTCTGGCTTACAACCCTGTAGTTCTCCCCTCCCTTCAAAGTAAGGGAAGAAGGGGGCAGCTAGGTGGCGCAGTGGATAGAGCACCGGCCTTGAAGTCAGGAGGACCTGAGTTCAAATTTGGCCTCAGACCAAACACTGGACACTTACTAGCTGTGTGACCCTGAGCAAGTCACTTAACCCCAATTGCCTAAAAAGCAAAACATAAAAAAATAAAAAAGCAAAGTAAGGGAAGAAGACATACCTTAGATATCTTCCCTCTCTCCTGACCTCACACCCTTGAAAGTATCCTGGTACTACAACCATTTGGGTTTCAATGTCAAGGAGACCCAGAACATGTCTATTTCTCCCATTTGGCCATTTGATAGTCATTAGGACACATGCTCTGTAGCCCTCACATCTTGGGAGAAAAACTAGCCTGGGGACCACATCCCAATGTTTTGCTACCAAAGGGCAATGGAGGCCTCTAAGCAAGACTGTTTCACATTGGCTTTCCCTCTGTTAGTAACAATGAAGTTTTGTTAACAGTTCTCCCCTGAGTGGTGCTTCTGTTCTTCATCTAAACTCCTCCCTTCCCCTCTTTGTAGGATGCCAATACATTATTCCTTCTCACACACTCTATACTTTAGCCAAATTGGCCTTCTTACTACTCTCTGTACAGGGTGTTCTATCTCCTGCCTCTGTGGCTTTGCAAAGGCTGTCTATCATGTCTGGAATGATCTTTCATCTCTATATCTGCTTCTTGGAATCTCTATCTCTCTTCAAGGACAGCTCAAATGCATCTTTACTGATTCCCACAAATGTCAGTATCATTCATCCTCCCTCATTTTTATGTACTTAGTACATATAGCCTCTATCTACATGTCTGGGAAGATGTACATTCCCTGAAAAGTATAAATTCTTTGCTCACAAGAACTCTCATTTTTTTGTTATCCTTAGCACTTACCAAAGTGATTGGTACATAGTAGGGGATTGATAAATGCTTGTTGATTCATTGATTGATGTTATATTTGTAGCTGACAAGGATATTGCCCAGGTCCATTACTATTTTCTATTCTTAAGCCTTTTTCCAGTTCTGGAAAATGTTTGTGTTAGTACTTGACTTACCATCTTTTCCTCCAGGTGATCCAGACCAGGAAGATTAGAAAACTCATCAGGAAAATACAAGCAGCAACTGTCGAGGAGATGTACAAAATTAAGTCTATCAGCTTATAGGAGGTAGTAGCTAACTTGAGCCTGGTAGGCTAGGCAAATCTCTTTTACAATTAGGTATTTAGGCAAGGACTCCCCAAAGAAGCAAATATTTATTGACTGATTGATTGCTATTTCCTTGTCCAACTCTGAGTAGAGCAAAAAATTCAGGTTCTCTCTACTGGCCCTCTTAGAAGCTAATGTAGCAGGGTTGAGGAGAAGGCTTTTCCGTGGAAAATGTGGTGGTGTCATACCTACTATGCCATACTTGTGAAGGCTGAGAGGAGATAATTCAGAAAGGTTCAGCACACCAGAAAAGAGAGTATACTAAGCTCAGGCCTATTAATCTTGAACTTATTTCCCTCTTCCAATGCTATACATTACTTAAGCCAATGCCATCCAGACTCATGATAGCTGAGCTAGCCTATGGCAAAGGCTATTCATGTCACCTCCCTCAAAGTCTGTCCAGGAGGGAAGGCAGAGGGTCATGCCAATATAGGAAGGGAGGTGATGAGTAGGGTCTAGACTACAGAGTGAAGCCAAGTGTAGAACCCAGCGAAGTCCAACTCAGAGATCTTAACTTTACTTTTCACATTTACTGGTATCAAGCTAATTCCCAGGGTGAAACCAGTCTCTGTCTTCTCACAGCTGTAAGCTTAATAGGTACCAAATTAAAAAAAATTTTTTCTTAATCTCTAGAGCAAGAGAGTGAGGTATTATGTGTAAAAGAAATTACCTCCCCCCACTGATGAATAGTAAGCTGATCTTGGGCCTCAAGATAGATGCTAGTAGGGAATGGAAAGTTTGAGGAGGGTAGGGAAAGAGGGGCAGGTGTAAGACAAACACCTGACTATTGGCTATCCCTAGGTATATGTTATCATCTTTGATGTGTAACTGTCACATTTAATCTATTAAACCAATGATTTTTTAATGTTCTATTATTGTTAGTCCTATTACTTGTTACCCTAAGTATTTGCTGAATGGAATAATATTTACTAATATATTTATTTTATATTTTATCAATTTATTCAGATTTAATAGAACACTGCCATTATAAAAACTACCCTACAACAATACATAACTAAGAATTATTTCTTTCATTTCACTTGTCATTTCATTAATATATTGGCAAAATTATGTATCCAATTTCATTTCCAATTAATAAGCATTTATTAAGCAACTACTACAAGCTTGGCACTGTTCTGGATGTTAAGGATACAAATACTAAAATCCTGTCTTCAAGCAACTTAAATTTTACTTAGGGGAAGGGGAGTGGAGAAGAAAATCACAATTTTTTTGTAGAAGTAAATACCAGACATATACAAAATATGAGAAAAGTGATACGGGGAGGCACTAAGAATCAGAAGAATCAAGAAAGATCTTCTGATGGGGGTGGTACTTCAGCTGAGTCTTGAAGGAAACCAAAAGGTAGAAGTGAGGTAGAACATGCCAGGCGTGAGGTAGAGCAGGAGATAGAATGTGAAGTATGTGGAACTGCAAGAAGGTCAATTGGCCTGGAAGGTAGAGCATGTGAGGGGGAATAATGTGTAATTAGACTGGAAGGATATGTTGGAAACATGTTGTGAGGGACTTTAAAGGTCAAACAGAGGAGTTTGTACTCTAGAGACAATAGGGTACCTCAAAAACTTCTGGTGAGTGACCTATGCTTTAGGTGAAACCTGAGATTTAAGAAAAATTATAAAAAGCTATGTCTCAATATGAATTATGCTAGAGTCTGGATCTGTCCTTAACTTTGGCAAACATTACATAGTACCTATAATGCATGCTTTAAACATGTTTGGTAACTGTTCTTAAGATATAAGTATTATATGTAAAATAATTTGACCCACCTGCTATCTTATGTTCTGTAGTAAATGAAGATGGTACAGGTGTTTCAGTGGAAGCTGTGGAAAAAAGTTGTTGGATATTAGAATATCAGTTTGGTAGTTGTATGGAGGAGGATAGATGAGAGAAACTATGTTCAGGGAAACCAGGTAGGAAGTGCTTGCAATAGTTCAGATGAGATGATGTGGGCTTAGTGTAGCATGGAGGTTGTGCAAACAGATGGAAGGAAATAGATGGAAGAAAAATTGAGTAACTGAAATCAATGAGACTCAGCAACTTATTAGATTTGGGGGGGGCATGAGTGACTAAAGAATGAAAAGTTGAGGATGACTTTTTGGCTGCCAACTCAGGTGACTGGAAGAATGCTGGTCACCCTATAGAAATAGGGAAGTCAATTTTCAGGTAACTCTTGATCTAACAAGAATCATTCAACATTCTTATGAATGATTAACTTTTTTTTGTTTCCCAAATGCAGTGTCATCCTCTTCATAAATTATTCCATGGTCCCAGGATTGTTCTACTTTTTACAGATGTAGTCTTATGGGTCAGATTTTCCTGACCAGAAAAGAAAGGTTAACAATTGTAGAAAGTTACTTCTCTGGTTCTCTATTCATGTTCTCACCTCACCATCACTCTTGCCTTCACTCATATTTACCCTTGTCCCATCCATCACACTTAAATATCTCCAGGCCTGAAAGGGCATTCTGCTATTTCAAGTTAGCTTTTCAGCAACTGATTGACTATGGTTTGAGAACTTATCATAAAAAGTTATGTCTCAATATGAGCTTTGCTAGAGTCTGGATCTGTTCTTAACTTTGACAAACATCACGTAGTTCCTAGAACGGGTGCTTTTAACATGTTTAATAACTGTTCTTAAGATACAAATATTATCCATAAAATAATTTGACCTACCTGCTATTTTATGTTCTGTAGTAAATGAAGATGGTACAGATGTTTCAGTGGAAGCTGTGGAAAAAAATTGTTGGAATTTAAGAATATCAGTTTGGTAGTTGTGTGGAGGAGGTTAGATGAGATAGAATGTGCTCAGGGAAATCAGTCAGGAAGCTCTTGCAATAGTTCAAATGAGATGATGTCGGCTTGGTCTAGCATGGAGGTTGTGGAGACAGAAAGAAATAGTTGGAAGAGATGTGGAGAAAGTACAATGAACAAGACTTGGCAACTGATTAGATGGGGGGGTGATTAAGAATGAAGAGTTGAGGATGACTTTGGTTGCCAACTCAGGTGGCTAGAAGAATGCTAGTTACCCTATAGAAATAGGGAAGTTAATTTTCAGGTAACTCTTGATCTAACAAGAATCGTTCAATATTTCTATGAATGATTAACTTTTTTTTTTGTTTGCCAAATGCAGTGTCATCCCCTTCATAAATTCTTCCCATGGTCCCAGGATTGTTCTACTTTTTACAGATGTAGTCTTATGGGTCAGATTTTCCTGATGAGAAAACAAAGGTTAACAATTGTAGAATGCTACTTCTCTAGTTCTCTATTATAAGTCATATTCTCTAATATGAATCATATTCTCACCTCACCATCACTCTTGCTTTCACTTATATTTACCCTTGTCCCATCCATCACATTTAAATATCTCCTGGCTGAAAGGGCATTCTGCTGTTTCAAGTTAGGTTTCTGGCAACTGGTTGACTTTAGTTTGAGAACTTATCATAAAAAGTTATGTCTCAATATGAGCTATGCTAGAGTCAGGATCTGTCCTTAACTTTGACAAATATTACACAGTACCTAGAATGGGTGCTTTTTACATGTTTAATAACCTACCTGCTATTTTATGTTCTGTAGTAAATGAAGATGGTATGGATGTTTCAGTGGAAGCTGTAAAAAAGAATTGTTGAGTATGTTTTCTAGGAACCATGACAGGTGGGGAAGAGTCTATGTTATTCTAATTATATCAAATAGTACAATAATGTGATTCATGAATAGAACAGAAGTTCAACAGTCTGGTAAAGAGAAGTAGGAAGGTAGACAATGAATCTAGTTCCCTCCTTCTAACCTTCCAGCACTTGCCACACTTTGTCTTCAAGGCTAAGGATCTTTTACCTTTTCATGAGGAGTAACTACTTTTTATTCCCTTAAAGCCTTGCATGAATGAAATCAGAGTAAAGCCAAGGGTACTGATACCTGTTCCATTCCCCTCTCTATTGGGGTTTCTTGGAAACGGAAAGGTTGGCTGCACCTTTGCACCGTGTAATCAACTATATCAGTCATTAGGGTTTACTGACATATCACAATGTATCTGCTAGAGGCATTTACTTAAGTAAATCACTTTTCACTTTCTGTTTCCTAGTATTACAATCAATATTTTCTCTCCATGGAAAATCATTTTGGCACTTGTGTTGAGGATGGTTTGGGGTGAGTGTTGAGGTAAAGAGAGAAGGTTATTGCAATATTCCAGGAGAAAAGTGAAGAAGACTTGAGCTATGTGTTAACATAGAAAAAGGGATGTATGCAAGTGATATTGGAGAGACAAAATTTCACTACAAATTTTTTTTGTGTGAGGTTAGTGAGAGTACAGATTTGAAAATGATACCCAGGTTGCTTACAGTAGTGGCTGTAAGGATGGTGATATTCTTCTCAATGAGAGGGAAGTTTGGAAGAGGGGTGAGTTTGGGAAAGGGATGTTCAGTTCTGTTTGGGATATGTTGAGTTTGATATAGTTTGATAAGTTCAAAATATCCAATAGCCAGATAGTGATGCAGAACTGGAGCTTAGGAGAAAGACAAAGAGCTGGATATAGACATAGGAGTCATGTAGGTTAGAGCTGATAATTGAATTTATGAGGGCTGTTAAGGTTACTAAAAGAAAGACTATAGAGAAAAAAGAGAAATAGGCCAAACACAGAACCTTGGAGGACATCCATAGTTAGTGAGTGTCAAGTGGGTGAAGATCCAATAAAGCAAACTCTAATGAACAGCCAAAAAGGTAGGAAGAAAATTAAGAAAGAGCAATTTTACAAAAACCTAGAGAGAAATATACAGGAAAAGGTGGTCAGTTGCACCAGATATTTCAGAAAGGTCAGGAAGAATTGAGGACTGAGAAAAGGTTAGTAGATTTGGCAGTTAAAACATCATTGGGAACATTGAAGAGAGAATTTTCAGTTGAATGATGAGGTTAGATGAAGTTAGAATGATGAAATTATAGAGGTTTAGAAGAACAAGAAGAGAGGAAGTAGAGGTAGGTAATATACTGATTTTCCAAAAGCAAAAACAAAAACAAAAAACAACTCAGGAGAGGAGAGGTAAAAGATAAAAGTCAGTGACTATAGTAGGAATAAGTGACTATTTTTTAGGGATGGTAGAGAGTTTATTTGTATGAAAAAGGGAATGAATTTCTGAGAGAGAAAAGAGAGAGACAGAGAGAGATGGAGACAGAGTGATAATGATAGGATGATAGTGGGGCAGTCTACTGGAGATAATGAGAGATGATGGAATCAAGGGGGCATATAGAGGGATTGCCCTTGGCAAGAAGGCCATCTCATCATCAGATGCTGAAGTGAAGGAAAATATAGTGGGGGGGGCAGTTAGGTGGCACAGTGAATAGAGCACCGGCCCTGAAGTCATGAGGACCTGAATTCAAATCTGGCCTCAGACCAAACACTTGACGCTTACTAACTGTGTGACCCTGGGCAAGTCACTTAACACCAATTGCATATATATCTTGAACGTGAAAGTGGAATACTATAATCAAAGAAAGATGTGAATATCTCTTTATGTAGCTGAATGGAATGGAGGGGTAGGTCATGGGGAGCTGAATAGATTGAGGAGCTGAGAAGTCAGAGTATTTGAGGGAATATCAGCAGTAAGTTCCCTAGTGTGAGGGCAGGGATTGGGGAGAGGTGGGGGGAGAGAGACAGAGACAGAGATAGAGACAGAGAGATACAGAGAGAATGTCATCATAATCTGAATTGGTTGATGAATTGGGGTAGAGTGAAAGAAGGAAAGGTGGCTATTGTGTTCCAGGAGACTTTGAAAGTCCAACCAGAAGGCAGGAGATGTTGTTGTGTCTTGGGTATCTGGAAGCAAGGCATTGACTTTAATGAACTGTCACTTCCATGTCATCCTTACCCCAGTTCAAACTGCATGGTAAAACCATTCAGAATCACTGATCAGGCACCAAAGAGGTCATCTGACTGATCAAAACTAATTAGTATTTAAACTGAACCTCAAAATGGGGAATCTGTTATGGATAACACTGGGTTAACACTTTGCAGTGTTTTGATTGGGAAGCTAAAGTCATGCTACTGGCTATAAGAGAAGCCATACACTAGGCTGGGAGTCGGGGTTGGAGGAGTGGAGGAGAGGGTAGGGATCACAGAGGTAACTGGAAAAGGACTATACTAACTGACATTGGAGCATTTCAGATGTGGTTTAGTCCATGTTGGTTTTCCATTGCTGTTTATGCAGGTACTCTCAGCAGTACCCTTATATTTAGCTGTTTTGAGACACTGGTATTGAAGTGTCTGTCCCACAACAAACTGATAACTCTTTGTTTCGCTAGCATGGCTCCAAAGTACAGGTTCCAGGCAGTGACCTTAAAAAGAGAAAAAAAAAATCTGAGCAGAAATTGAAGGTAGTGTCGAGAATACAAGTAATTGACTTTTTGCCTAGAGGGTGGATAGAAATGGAGCTTTGGTACTCATTCATTGCTGACTTTACAAAGTCAGACATTTATTATTTTTTTCCTTGTAGGAAAAACATTAATTTGTCTTAGTTCTACTTTAGGAACTTCAAAACTGTTTATGGATATGATATTGTCCGTATGTGTTAATGCAAAACGCAGAACTAAATGAATTTTTGAGATTTTATTCCGGTGCTAAACTGTAGTGGCTCTATCACGTTATATTTTTGAAAGTTAATTTTTGTGCATATTGTATATGCTCTTGCTCAACCTACTCCCCCCCCCGACCCCCAACACTCCCCAACGATTACTAGGATATAAGCTTGAGGGTTAGACTACTGCTAATTATCTTTGCTACTCAGCACCCGTACAGTGCCTTATACATAGTAGATATCTAATACATATCTCAATTGAGTTGAAAGGGTGGAGAAATCACATTGTAACAACTAACCTAGATTCTTTTACCTTTTTTTGTAATTGAAACTATAAATAAATTAGACCTATAGTTAAGTGGAATTATCAGTGGAAAGAGCCATTTATATAACACTTTAAGGTTTGCAAAGTAGGGAAAGGAAGGGAATAAGCATTGATGTAGCACCTACTATGTGTCAAGCACTTTTAACAAATATTATCTCATTTGACCCTCATAACAACAGCTGAGAGGTAGATGCTATTATTATCCCCATTTTGCAATTGAGGAAACTTAGGCAAACATAGGTTAAGTGACTTGCCTAGAGTCACACAATTACTAAGTGTCTGAGGCTAGATTTGAACTCAGAACTTCCTGAGCTCTATCCACTAAGCTACCAGCTGCTTCACAAAGTGTTTTACATACATTACATTCACATACATCCATTGATCAAGTGGCCTGAGGTCTAGTTCCAGTCCTGCTGCTACCTGCTACCACCTCTCTCTGGGAAATTAGACAAATTATTTAAACTTTCTGTTCTACTAGGTGCTGTGCTAAACACTGAAATATACAAAGAAAGGCAAAAACAATCCCTGCTCTTAAGGAATTTGCCTTCTAATGGGGCAGACAATAAGTAAATATACACACACAACACACAAGGAGAGCAGATGGAAAATAATCTTAGCGGGGAACTACCAGCTGTGGGGACAAGAAAAGATCTCCTGCAGAAGGTAGCATTTGAGTAGAGTCTTAAAGATTTTAAGATTCCAGAGAGTCTAAGAGGCAAAAACTTAACTAGAATTAAACTCATTCCCAAAACATTCCAGAAAGGAGGGGAGGAAAGAGTAATAGGCACAGACTACAATATAGTGACAAGCTGCCTAAAAGTATGTTTCCTCACTGTGATGATCTCCTGGAGGAGGTCCCCTCAGAACAAACTCTCTAAGTCACACATAGATACCACTGAAGCACCAGGTACTTATATTGTCTCTGTTTATCAAGCAAGCCTAATAATTTCTTTTGGACCAATTCATGAGGCTCAAATGAAATATATTATGTGTATTTAAATAAATTTTACCTACATATTTATCTATGTGTGACCCTTATTTCAAAAACTTCTAAGGAGACAACAGAAACTATTACTGTCTTTTTAAGACCATTCTATGCTACCATTCTATAATGTGTCAGTCTCTAAAGTCAGGATGCATGTGAGTTTTAACTTAGGTCTATGAGGATCTATGAGGAAATAATTTGGGAGAAACTTTGGAGAAGACAGAGAGAGTGGGGAGAAACTTTCTTGAGCAAACTATCTCAATTGCTATTTTTTGAGGAAACATTATAAGAAGAAATTTATAAAGGAATGAGTCTATAAAGAGACATTTAAGAATTATGACTTGAGAGAAGCTGAAGAAATTATTTTCCTGTTATGGCTGGAGATAAGTTGGAGGAGACAGAGAGAAAGAAGAGGAAGAGATCATTGATGAAAGGGATCTGTCTTTTCTTTTTTTGAAAGAAGAGAAAGAGAGGATGCTTGCAAAGTGCTATATAAGTATTATTAGTCCAAGGCTTTTCCCACTGAATATTCCATTTAACTAGAGGTCTGATTTATTTGTTAATTCAAGTGAACTAAATGGTGTGTCACCATATTCTCAGAAGTGAAGAGGAGGCATCTGCAGTTATAGGAAGGGTTTCAGATGAATCTGTTATCTTTCTCACAGCTAAAATATTGTAAATTATCTTTGTATTGCTCTTATAATTGTTTGATTTGTTAATAAATTATTTATTCAGAAATTTTATATTAAAGCCCAGGAGATTAAAGGATTTAACATATAGAAAGATATTAATAATTACCCTTGTAAAAGGAGGTTTCTCTAGTTTATTAAATAAATAACATACGATGGACTAGAGTTCTGAGTCTTAGTTGATTGAGTAATATGATGACATTTTATTAATGAGAAAAGGTACAAACATACCCCTGGATTATGCTTGAGGTAAGGATAAGATTAAATATAAGAACCAGTCTAGTGGCAGGCTGTGAGGTGTGAACTATAAAGTTGATGTTCCAGGTCATCCTGTTACATAGGAAGGGTCATCCTCCTAACCCTTTAATACACATACACACACACACACACACACACACACACATATATATATAGTCTAGGCCTCAGATTTTACATATGTGCGGAAATATATATATTTCACATATATAAACTTATAGTCTTAGTGAGTGCCTGGGATCCAGGTAATTTGTGTCAAAGGGACAGCATGAAACCAAATCTCCTTGATTTCAAGGTCAAACTCTCTCTCTCTTTTTTTCTCTCTCTCTCCCATCCCCCCTCTCTGCCCTCTCTTTCTCTCCTCTTCTTTTCCTCTCCTATTCCTCTTCTCTCTTTCTTCTCTTCCTTTTTCTCTCCTCTTCTCTTCTCCACTTTCCTCTTTTTCTCCTCTTCCTCTATACTTCCTCTCCTCTCCTCTTTGTGTCCTCTTCTCCTCTCTTCTCTCCTCTCTTCTCCTCTTCTCTCTGCCTCTCCACACACACAAACACACACACACACATACACACACACACACACACACACACTTACACACTTCTGCCTCTCATGTATAAGAGAAGGGGCATCCCAATATAAAGAAGGAAACAGAATCTAGCTTTCAAAGACGGTTTGAATAAAGTTCTATTTAAAGCAGAGGTTCTTAAGCTTTTTTGTGTCACAGATCCCTTTTAGCAGTTTGGTGAAACCTGTGGACCTCTTCTCAGAATAAGGCTTTTAAATGTATGACCAAATACTTAAGATTTCAAAGGAAATTAATTAAATTGAAATAGTTATCACAATATTTAAAAAATTTCAAAGACCCTATGTTTAGAGAAAGAGGACTAAAAAACCTGTCAGTAGTCATTGTGTCCTTGGAACCAGAAAGACCCGGATTCAAGTCCATCCTCTGAAACATTCTGTCTGTGTGACCCACAGCTTTTAAACTCTCAGTGCACCAAGCAATTCTCTAAATATATAAGTAGGTAGAAAGAGTTTCTTAACTGGAGATTCCTTTTGATGATGAAAGTGACCAAAAAAGTTAATCACTTTTAATTATTTTATATTTTTTGTTTCTTTGATCCATGTTAAGGTAGATATGGGGAGGACAGGTAGAAAGGTGCACAAAACCGATGGTGACAGGAGTTACTAATAAAACAGAGTCACAGGGTTGGTCATGTAGACAGGAGAATTGCTTATAAAATCATAGAACTTATTGGTTTTGTGAATTTAGACAACTGACAGCTTCTGTGAACTTCAGTTTGGTCATCTGTAAAACTACTTCACAAAACTGTTGCAAATAAAGTATATTGATAACCCAAACATTCTATAAAATTGTAAATTATTATTCAATTCTGCATCCTGCCTCCAAGCAGTTCTATAATTAAGATGTGCAAGAAAGATAATTGCCTTTCCAGTTTTTAAGTATCTTCAGAATTTCTACCATCTCCTGTGATCATTTGTCAGTCTTTAATCACCATGACATGTAAGAAATTGTTACTTTCATTTCCCTAAACTCTTTCTTGCTCATGGTTTGATACTTGGTGCCTGAAAGAGAAATACAGTGCAGCTCCAACTCACAACTTTATTAGTTCACCATCCCAAACTGATAGTCTATATTACCTCTAGGAGAACACTGAGTCCAGATTGCCACAGTGTAAATTTGTCTGAGACAGTGGTAGGCATCTCCTGCAAAAGTGATATCCTAAGAGGAGGCGAACAGATAATATGATATTCTAAGCTTTCAAAGTCTTCAAGGAAAATACGTTGTGTACTTATGAGAAGGAAGATATCCACTGCTGGAGGAGTCAGAGAATTCTATTGTTACCTGCCCCATTTCTTACCTGTGAGGTTGTAAGGTTGAAGTCTGTTGTCTGTAATTGTTTGAGTTCTGTCTGTCTGTTCTCTAGAGTTAATAGGAGCGCTCAAAACACTTTGTTCCTCCTGGCTCTGAGGGGCTAAGCGTACATGTGAACAAAAAGCAAACAAACGTAAAACTTGAAAATTATGTAGAAATTCGTACCAATCTATGAAAATATTGCATTGCAGTAGTTACTACACAGTACTTTTAACTAATAACAGTAAGTGATTAGCAAACTGGTCAAATGCACCAACAGCTGTTCTTAGTCTTGTGACACATATAGGCTCAAGCAATTACTTATAATTACTATCATTTTAATGTTGATGATTGCAGGTGTCAGGGATGAAATCCCCGTAGGAGAAACAGGAAAAAGAACCAAGTTCTCGAAGTTCAAACGTCAGATTTTTTTGGATGTCTATTGTGCTCCTTCTGGGTCACTGGCTGATGTCGCCACCTATAAATAAATCACCTGACAGAATAGACAAGATACTTCCTCTGACCTCTGATCAGGGCTGAGATACCTTCCAGACCCCAGAAGCTGTACACTTGTGCCTAAATTTTTTATTAGTTGGGTATCAGAAATTAGAAGCAACAGAGACTTGTTCTTTGAACAATTCCAATTTTGTAATTTTGCTAAATGATGGAGATATTTTTATGCTTTGTTGGAAGAGAAAGGGTTATTGGAACATTCTCTCTTTCTTTTTTTCCCCCATCCACATCTGTCATTGCATTGGTCTAGTGAATTCTTAAAGATATCTTCCTCCATACAGATCAACAACTAATTTGCATAATGGTTACATAGCTAGTATGTGTCAAAAGTAGGACTTGAAACCAGGTCTTCCTGACTCTGAGTCTGGTCCGCCACATACTTGTAGTGGCCAAAAATGATGGTACCAGCCACCATGAACTGGAAGTTAGAGAAGGCTGAGGAAAGCAGCACTGGACACCAAGGAGGCAGAAATCATTGTGAGGTGTGATTCATTTGAGAGGCAGAGGCAACATGGTATAATGAATTCTACTGATGATATTTCTATGCGACTTTTGATATTGCAGCTTCCCTGGGTCTCATTTGTAAAAGATGACCCTTAAGCTTGCTTCCAATTTTAAATGTAAATGACCATATACAGGAGTGAATGGAGTCACAAAGACCTGAGTTCAAGTTCTGTCTCTGATTGCCCACACTATCTGGGTAACCATGAGCATATCACTTAGCCTTTCATTGCCCCAGGCAAGATCTCTAAGACTGTCACTGAGGAGTTACTGATCAGCATTGGTGGAGGGAGTTTCCAAGTATGTAGACCAAAATAAAATAGGAATTGTTCTGTCTTTGGAGAGCTGTCAATAAATTATTCATTATTTTCAGAAACAAAAACCCAAATATCATTTTATTAGCAGAAATTCTATAAGAGAAGGAGAGAAGTCTGTGGATCACGTGCAGAATTCTTATAGAATTATGAAGTTCCCATATGCAAACCACAGTTTTCCTTCCTTGTTGAATTACAAAAAGAAACACTTACATTTACCCTTACACTGACACTTATCATTCCAGGAAAGATGCCCTTGTGTGTCTTCACACACAATAAGTAAGGGAGTGCCTTCCTTCCTATCATAACCAGGTTTACAGGAACAGTCTAGGATTGTGCCCTTCATATAAATTTGCGTTTCAAAGGAGGCAAAGTCAATTTGAGGTGGATGTGGGCATTCTTCTGAAAGACAAAAACCCAAAAAGACAAAAATCAGTAGCACATTAAGACAAATGTTTTAGGCAAATGTACCTTTCAAAGACTTTATCCCCAGGGGATGAATTGAACAGCCATGATCTTGTGGAGGGTTCTTGGCTATTCTGAGACCTGGAAGACTTCCTCTACCACCCTAGGACAAAGAACTGCTTCCTCTTTGAACAGACTCAGTGGAAGACTAGGTTAAAAGAGACAAAGCTACTGCCATAGGTCAAGAGCTCATTCCACGAAGCATAGAATAACTATTTAAACACAACATTTTGCAACAAATCTCTATTCACACTTTTTGCCTCTTTACTAGCAATCCCAGAAGCCATTCCTGATTTTGCCTACCCAAAACAGCTGCCCTGTTTTGACCTTGCTAGACTCAGTTTCTCTGTATGTGACTACCTCTTGTTCTAAGGAGATAGATGTCACTGCCTACATTCCTGCACTGGCCTACTTAACCCAACACTTGCTGAGAATATTTAATCTCTATATTTACTTGCTTGATTGAGTCAGGAACTACCACTATAAGAGAGAACTAGGGGCAGCTAGGTGGTGCAGTGGATAGAGCACCAGCCCTGGATTCAGGAGGACCTGAGTTCAAATCCGGCCTCAAACACATAATACTTACTAGCTGTGTGACCCTGGGCAAGTCATTTAACCCCATTGCCTATTCAAAAAAAAAAAAAAAGAGAGAGAGGCCTAGAGGGTTCCAACTCTGGCCAAATACCAAAAGCATCCTGGATAACCTGTGTGCTTGGGAGATCAATCAGTGAGCATTTATTAAGCACCTACTACGTGTCAGGCACTGCAGATACAAAAATGAAAGTGAAACAATCCCAGCTCAGAATCTCATTTTTTGTCAGGGGAGCCAATATGTACAAATTTACTCAAATAGCTTTGTGATATCATCAATTCAGGAGTTCTCTCCAAAGACTCAGATTGCATTCCATGCAATCTTGCTTATCTTATGTGACCCTTATCCACATTCTCCCAAAAGTTCCACAAAGGGTTCACCCAATATGCTTGACACCTTCCTTGATTTCTTTCAACATCAAGAAGATACCAATGGAACACTGTGACAATTCACCTGTGTGAGAGGTGGGCCTGACTCAGGTCAGTACACTGTTTTTCAATTTGGGATGAAATCAGTCATTTAATAGTTAGTAAAAGGAAGTTTTTTAGCCACAGCACTGAAAGAAATACTCAAGAAGCATATTCTAACACTTAGCTTGTATAGACAAGGCCCCTTCATTGCTACATAGAAATATATCTGAGAAAATTTTTTTTCATCAAATGCGTGCTTGTGAAAGTCCTGTGTTTAGCATTGCTTTAGTGCATAGCAAGAAATGACCTGTCATATACCTGATTCATAGTATATGTTGAATGCTGCTTGTTTTCATCTTCCCTTTTTTTTTTTTTTCTATAGGAGGCCCTGAATGTGAACTATTAATAAAATCATCCTCTCAGTGCAGGATAGGGACTTAATGAGCCAGAGGGTAAGGACAAAGAGCCTAAAATCTCTCATTAGAAGCCAAGTTGCCTCAGAAATAGTAAAAACAGAATGTCTGGTAAAAAGGGAATATTGGCATCCAGAACAGAGGGGCTTCTTGGGGGGCAAAGGAAATACTGTTGTATTTCAGCAGTTGTGAGGATATAGGAGAGGCTACTAAGGTTAACTATATATAAAATATTCATTCTTGTGTTTAGCTAGTTAAGAATAACAAAAAATTAAAATTTAAGAAAAAAGAAACAAACAACTATAAAATTCCTGCTTTCTCATAGTTCTACCTTTCTGAACACTTCTTATTCTCCACTGCTGAATAATCATCCTGCTCCCATTGGCTAACTATGGGCATTCTCCAAGGCTCTGTCTTTGATTCTTTTCTCATTTCTTCCTACACTCTTTTTCTATACTCCCCTCTCCTCCCTTCCTCTCTCCTCCCCTCTTTTCCTCTCCTCTCCTCTTCTCTACTTTCCCCTCCCCTTCTCTGTGAAGAAGACTCACAAATCTATTCAGACCTAATATCTCTCTTAAACTTTAGTCCAGTATCACTAACTGCCTGTTGTATATCTTCATCTGGATGTCTCATAGGTCTTTCAAACTCAACAAGCCCCAAATAGAACTCAATACATTCCCTCCACACCAACCTTCCACCCCACATCTCCAACTCATTCCTGATCTAAACCTTCCTGTTTCTCTCAATGGCACTGCCATTCTCCTAGTCAGGTTTAAAATAGTAGGGTCATATTTTATTTTTTTCCTTCATCACCTCCCCTCACCCATCCTATCAATTGCTAAGTCTTGTCACTTCTATCTCTACAACATATCTTGTATCTGTTCTCACTACTCATGCAGCCTCTACAGGTTTGAGCCCTTCTCAGGCCTTGACTGAACAAAATTGCAACAGCATCTTAGGCTCTCTGCTGTCCAATCCATTCTCCACACAGCTGTTGCACTGATATTAATAAAGCACAGATCTGATCATATCATCACACCATTCAATAATCTTCAGTGACTTCCTAGTACCACTAAGATAAAATAAAAAAATTTCAGCCTAACATTTAAAGTCCTCCAAAATACGGCTTCCGTCTGTATTTCCAATTTTATTTCATATTAATCTACTTCACACAGTCTCTATTTTGATCAAAGTAAGCTGCAGGCTGTCCTCTGTACATGACATTGCTTCTCTCAGATCTGTGCCTTTGGACAGGCATTCTCATATCTAGAATGCACTCCCTCTTCATCTCTGTCTCTTAGGATTTCTTGTTGTTGGTGTTTACTTGTTTTAGTTGTGTCCCACTCTTCATGACTTTGGGGTTTTCTTGGCAAAGATACCAGCTCATTTTACAGATGGGGAAACTGAGGCAAACAGGGTTAAGTGACTTTCCCAGGGTCACACGACTATAAGTGTCTTAGGCTACATTTGAACTCAGGAATAGGAGTCTTCCTGACTCCAGGACCACCACTTTCTCTACTGCACCACCTAGCTGCTTCTTTCAAAGCACAACTCAAATGCTACCTCCTCAAGGAGGCTTTTCCTGAAGTTGCTAATTTTAAGTGGGAAATCCTCTTTAAAGTTACTTCATGCAACTTTGTATATATTTATTTGTGAAGCAGGTATTGTTTAATTTTGTATTGTCGAACCCCCAGTTTCTAGCAGTGTCTAGTGTATAACAATAACGCTGCACACTTTAAAAAAATTTTTACATTCTATAGACTTAGATGGAGAACATAGCATCTTACTAACAGAGATAAAAAAAGATGGCTTCACACTAGTCATCTCCATAAAGATGGTTATTGGGAGCTAATGAAGTTATGCAGTAAAAGAGTGTAAAGAGAACAGAGAAAAGGATCTAGGACAAAAGCACAGCTGGTCATTGTGGTATGGATGGATGATGAATAAACAGAAGAGGTGATGCAGGTAGGAGAAAAACAAAGAAAGAGCAGAGTCTCGGGAAAAAAAAAGTATCCATTGAGTGAGCCACCTACTTACCAGTTCCCAGAATCGTGAAAGCCTAGTAACTCACCCTGCTCGTGTGGTTATGTGCACAGTCCTACTGCCTTCTATGTGACTTATAAGTAAACCAATAAGGTTAGGTTTTTAGTTGCTGTGGAAGAATGTGGAAGAAACTTCCTAGAAGGCTTAAAAGGAGCTTTTCAGTGAATGCTTATAAGGATGTCCATACCAGGAAAAAATTGCATTGGAGGTTTGTTGGAAACCATTCTTTTCAACCACAGAAAATCATCAAGAGTAAGAAGATACTTGGAACCTGGAGTTTTTTGCTCCATTTCAGCATTTGCAACAAGGTTCAGTGCGGAAAATTAATGTGACCCTGCTGAGCCAGTGTTTAGAAATATAGAGAGTAATCAGGCTAAAAGATTAGGCCTTTTTTTTGAGACTTTAATCATGTTTCCTTGATAGATCAAAATATTCTCATTAATTGACTGCTTCATTATGGGCATTGTGTGTTTATTAATATCATTTAAGATCAATTTTTTTTCTGGGTAATTTAATCATTTTCTTAATAAAGCCAGCAGGTTATTAATAAAAGGATGGTCATTTGGCTCTCTCTTAGACCAAAGACCCCTCATGGTGGTGGGCTCACAGTTTATAATCCTCTCTAAGAGTAGGTGCTCCTCAGGAGTGCCTAATCAATTCTGATTAGTTAACTCAATGGGAGGTGGGCTATCTTGGGGAAAGTGACTTAGGTCATTCAAATCTTGACATTTTGACAAAAGAGACATTAATTTCCATACCTGTCTTGAAAGAATGAGAGAATTGACATTTTCCCAGGCCTGTCTGAGCAAACATAACGAACAGGAATACACCCAACTTATTTTAGCCCAAACTTAGAATTTCTTTTGCTGTCTGATTAGATCTTGGCCTAGGTAAATCTTTAAGAGAGATTTCCCACATTGATTGGTTTCTGGATGAGGAAGTAGAAAAGGGTAAAAGATCAAATTAACTTTTGTCAGCAACATCAAAATATCCACTTATTTTGAATTTGTGGTCAACTAAAGCACATAAACCTCTTAGCTAATTTCTAAGTAGCTCAGCAGGCTCCTCTGCAGGTTCTTTCAGTTCCCTTGAGGAGATTCATCTGGAAGATGAGATAAATTCATTTAGACTAACTAGGGACTATTTTACTATCTCCTCACATATACAGCTAGGTTATCTTCTAGCCAAGTGATTCTATTCCTTCCAATGTGAAGGTAGCTTCCTTTGATGATAAAAATGGAATTAGCCCAATTACTTCTGAGTTGTCAGTCACTATTAGCTTTTGGCTTCCATTTTTTGGTGCCTTGGCCCTATCTAAAGCACTGTGATCAATTCTGGATGTTGTAGTTTAGGAAGGACATCGATAAACAGTCCAGAGGAGGGCAACAGATTGGTGAAATGTCTCAAGGCCATGACATATAAAGATTAGTTTTAAGCAACTGGGGATATATCCTATAGAACACCCAAGGGAGATGA